TGACCTGCTGATCTAGCAGTAGCCTGCAGTGCTGCATTTAACCACTGCGCCACCTTGGCTCTTGCCAAGGTGTCAAATAGAGTTTGACACCCTGTACTAGGTGATCCAGAGAGAATCGAGGGCAAAATTCAGGAATACTTTTAGGGATTCCGTGACCTCATAACAGCCAAGGAGCAGACAAGAGTAATTTCTCCAGCGAATCTTCCTTCAATCCCCCTCTTTTTCCAACATTTTCACGCAAATGCTTTGGGCTCAGTGCTTAGCCATCTTTTCAACAATAAAAGACTCTCTCAGACTCAGCTTCCCTCCCAACGACAGTAACAATTATTTCCCCTCCCTTGAAGTCCACCTGTAAAAAAAGGTGTTTTGGGGCTTCGTGACTAGAGTGGCCCCTGCTTCACTGCTTCTTCGCTTTCCCTCCCTTTATCGAACATTTTAAAGAAAATGCACGATGAACAAACACAAGGGAACGCATGGAAAGAAGAATAAAAGACAGATAAATAAGTCAGCTAAGTAAACCAGGAATTTAAATGTCATGCACGCAATCGCTTTCTAAAATATCATTAACTAGTAATAAATAAACAAACCACATTAAGAAACTAAATTCATTATTAAAATTAAGCTGAAAATAGTAACAAAGCATTAACACACTATAAATGGAATGAAATTGCACACCTATATGCAAATTCCGTCTATCATTTCCAGCAATGTTTTTTAAAAAAAAACGAATTCTCTGTTTTGGCAATCAAATGGAAAATCTGCCAATGATGAAATGTTTTTTAACCAGTTTCTCCGGGAGGACCTGTTGCGGTTGCCTTGCAACCCTGGACGTCCCGTATCCTCTGGAGCCCATTTTGGCCCCCGGGCTGACCCACTGGGGGCTTCAGAGCCAGCCTTTTCCAAAGGGGTTTCTTTCTTTTGCAAGAGGCAGCAGATCAATCTAAGGAAGGCTATTTTGAAACTATGAACAAGCTTTGATCGACCAGAACTACACTGGAAAGGATTAGTTCCACATTTTGGGTATTTTTATAAATGAAGAACAAAGGGATGAAGCCAGTCAAAGTCCAAGCGATGCCCCTTGGGTCCTGGTCATCCCGCTACCTGGGCGCTGGGCAGGGCTGGGGAAGGAGAGCAGGGCTGGGTCACAGGTGTGCCTGCCCGATTACCTGAGGTGCCTGAAGAGCTCCTTGAGGACCCAGTCTTGGCTCTGGACCGTCTGGACAATGATCTTGACCATCTCTGTGCTGTCGCTGTAGACGTGGTCTGAAAGACAGATCTCTCCAGAGGGTAAACTTCCTCCACAGACAGAAAGCATTTGGCAACCAGATTCTACCTCAGAAGAAAAGCCGAAGACTTTACACTAGCATTAATCATGAGAATAATATATTTTTAACTGTTTGGATAGATCGGAAATCCTAGTAAACAGGGCTGAAAAATGTTGTCATCCTTGAACAAGACTTCAAATATTATACCTCTTAATACGTCCTCAACCCAAAGGGCTCCAGAGGCTCCACTTAAGGGGGTAATGGGGGTGTTTGATTAGATAGGAATCAATAACATTCCCGAAGGAACAGCCTGTCTATTCTAAATTTTTACCCTCGAATAGCTAGAAACGACCGTACAAACTTAGGAAACCGTTAAAGCAGTGTTTCTCAACCTTGTCAACTTGAAGATGTCCTGACTTCAACTCCCAGAATTCCCCAGCAGTGGTTAGGACAGTGTTTCTCAACCTTGTCAACTTGAAGATGTGCAGAGCGCAACACCAAGAATGCCGACGCCGGCATTCGCTGCCT